TCCACTACTCCTTCGCTCCAACTGTGGCCTCTGGAGGAGGCAGCTTCAGTGAAAGGGGGTAGATAATAACTGGGTTTTATTTAAAAAAAATAATAATCCTGATAAATGTATTGGATAGCCGAAGAAAAATGTGCTATTACAAGTACATTTCATAAGACTAATGAATACATCTTTTAACACTATAAACCCTTTCCTGATAATGTGTCCTTACCTTATATATCAGGACAATAAACTGCATAGTATTTTGGGTTGAGTTGTATAGACATTGAATTCCAACTGTGCAATGGTAGCCAATGCAGTGACAATGCCCAAAGCTTCCTCTCATTATATTGTGCATAATTTAACCTCGAGTGAGCTGAAGGATGTAAAAGGGGACTTGTGCCATTCCTCGTGCCAAAGATGTGACCTAACCATAGTGTCCAGCCTGAGGGATTCAATGACGGCCCAAGCTCGCATTTCTGTGAGGTGACCCACTATCATCACAGAGAGGATGTGAAACTGCGTATTTCAGATCATCCCAGAAAACTTAGATGATAACTTTGTTTTCATTTTGGACATGTCAGAACACCTAATTTTAATATAACTTAGTCTGAAACCTAATGAAGAGATGTTTCTTTAAAATTTACAGAAAAAAAATCAGGTTGGTATTTCCTTCTGTGAATAATGAAAATTTCAACTTCTATAGTTCCAAGTTGTGATGAGAACAAATGGTGAAATGTCAAAGTATCCCACTGGATAAAAATGTTTTCTTTCTCAGCTGTGCTCTTTGGGAATTGAGTGGAATGACATGTCTCTATGCTCATTTTTCACAATATCTGTACGCCCTGAGACTGCTGGAGTAATTTTAAAACAGACCTTTCAATCCAAAAGTAAAATTGGCACGTAGCCTTTTGATTCAGTTAACAGATGGTGTATGGTATTTATGAGAACAGTTGTTAAATGCTTTATAGTGTGACTCACCAACTGATAGCTGCATATTAATGGAAAGTGGACGGCACTATCACATTTACAAGTGCTGGATTGTTGAGCGGAGCTGGGGGACCTGATTTATAGAACCAGTTGCCCTCTTAAGTTCAGTCTAGATTATTTGGATTCCTTCTCTAAGTACTATTTTTATGGGGCTAGATCTGCTAACCTTACTGCAAAGATGAAAATCTTTTAAACCAGGACTTAGACCTTAGTTTTGGGGGTGGAGGACAGAAATGGAGCTCAGCAGCTAATTATGCTTGTTTTTTAGAATTAGTTTCTGAGCTGTGTGATTCTTCTAGTCACTAACTGAAAACATCTAGGAAAATAATAAAAAATATTTAAGATGCTAGTATCATTATACGATATATTAACTGGTCAGAAAGCATGTCTTTTCTTGGTATGAGTTATTAAGAATTTTAGATAGAAATTTGTTTTGCCCTTATTCACAGTCTAATGGAAATAATTCTAGAGCAATGTGATCGAATTCAACTCAGGTGTTCTTTAAAAATCCTTGCTATGAGGTTTTTAAATGACACACTTTGTCTATCAGTTATTTCAAGAGCTGGAAAAACCACTGAAAGCATGCCACACATTTCATCAAATTACAAGGACCATAAAACAGGCCTAAACCACAAGACCCTACAAATTACTGGAAAGACAACTAGGTGTCATTGTTAAAGCACTTATATCATTGCCATTATCTTGAGTTTGTTAAGGTTGCTTTAGTTTGCCTTTGAATGGTAAAATAGCCTTAATGGAAACGTTGCAGCAGAAGTGACATTGGTGGCACCATTACAGCATGCTGTAGTTCATGTGAATTAAATATAAAAAAAAAAAAAAAAAAATATATATATATATATATATATATATATATATATAAAAAAAAAAAAAAAAAAAACAAAAAAAAAAAAAACACTAATATAAGCCCTGGGATAAGATTACAGGCCTTGTTCTTTCCATCCCATGTTGCACTGACAGACTAGGGCCCAAAGGGAATAGCCTCTGACGGAGAGTGCCGTACAGAAGGTGCAAAGTTTATCCTTTTTCCCAGGATCTGGTATAAGCCAAACCCCACCGATTACTCAAAATACACCAGACTGTGGGCAGCTTCTAGCTGTCCCCTGATTCTCCATCGTCTATGCAGGAATTTCACTTATCTGAAGTTACGGTCTGCATTTAGGGGCATCGAAGCAACGGCGGAGTTGGAAAACAGTCTGGGGCAATGCCAGAGGCTCCCGACAAACCCAGGAGAGTTTTAACATTCCTCTGCTGCTCCCATGAATAATCAAACCTTATTTAAACTGTCTGGGGATTTTTTTTCCCCTCCTTCAGCTCCCACTAAGCCTTAGTAAGTACAGTGAGATTCCAGTGGGATCTTTAAGAGAGTAAAGTGCTATTTGTGCCATAGGCAACCACTCAGCGTCTGGTGGCAAAGGTTGGAGAGCCGCGTGTAGTAATCACGGAATATTGCAACACACATCTCTTTACTCAGGAGCCTGTTTGCACTTCGGCCACAGGGTAACACTGGGGAGATACAGGCAGAGAGAGACGGTTCTCAGGTAGCAACCTTCTGACCACTGACCCAGCAGCTGGCTCCTGAATTGTCCCCTGGGACTGATCAGGGCCAAAGCAGGGCCAAAACAGGGCTGAAGCTCCTCCTGGTCTTGGTTATTTTGTCTGCAGACACTCTACCTCCCCAGCAATTGTGCGACTTGGATTCCCAAGCACCACTGAAGGCCTGGTCCTGAGTCCGGACAACAACTATTTGGACACACATTTACCTGCATGTCTGGGTGGCCTGATGTGAGTCACTGGGTTTGTCCAAGACTGTGGGATATTAGTGTGCTTGACAAAAGAAAATGCAAAAGTTTGTGATATTTGGGTTTCAATAGAACTCTAGTCATCCAAACAAATGTAACCAATAAAAGGAAAGAAGTATGAAGTTTAGAGTTGGACAGTTCAAATACAAATTTGCCTTAAACTCTCTTTAATATGCTTTTAATTTCAGTCAACAGTTGCCCTTGTTAGAAGAATAAAATAAAACTAAACTACCCTCCGCTGTCTCTTAAAAACAAGCAAAACCTGCAAACTCTACAGGAAAGAGCAGCAAAAATAGAGGGGCTGGAGGAACTGATTAATGAGGGAAAAAATACATACAGCTTGGCTAAGCAGTGGCTCACAGACGACGTGATAAGTCTACAAATATTTGCAGGCTGTAAATACCAAGGACAGGAATTCAGTACAACACAGCCAGCATAATCAGGACTAAGAGGAGAGGGAAAAAAAAATACATATATATATATATATATAGTGGGAGGTGGGGGAAAACTGTTGCCAGTGAGATGCAGTTGGCCTGGGAGTTAATAGATGGCACACACATCCTGAGGGGAGCCACACCATGCCTGTAAGGAAATAAGGAGAGGGAGACAGCAGGGCTGTACATCTCAAATTGCTGCAGCTTCGTGGCTGGTTAAATCCCAGCCATTAACATACACATGCGTAGCTCGCAGCAGCTGGCTGGGCTGGGTGTTTAACGGAGGCGTCCCCAGCTGGGAACGTGGAACAAGCCTGCTCCTTGTTGCAGATCTGGAAAAGGCCTTACCCACCCCAAAGACATCGAACACGCTCCTCCCCGCCCCACCAGCAGCAGATAAAAGAAATTACTCAGCTAGGGTCCTCGGCTCTGGCTGACTGACTGAGGGCTGTTTCCTGCTCTGGGCCCGCTGGCCGCAGCATCTCGGAATGGGAAATGCCTCCCAGAGCTCGGCGGGGACATGCTGGTACTGAGAGAAATTCATTTCGGCAGGAATTTTTCCTCTGAGAAACTGGTGGGTTCTGGGGGTGGAAGAAGGCACTTCGTCGAAATTTTTAATCAGCATTGTTATACCCGCCATGAGAAAAGCATTGTAAAATAATTCTTTGGTGAGTTACTAATCTGCTAAGTTAGAATTTAGGAACAAAATTAATGTCATTAAAACAGCAAGTTATTCACAGATGAGAGCTAACATTTCTCATTACAGCCAGCCCATTCTTTAAGCTGCATCAAGTCGGTGAAAACAGGACTATTTTATCAAATAAAGCCACTCGGGTGAATTAATACAGAGAGCACCGAGGTCAGCATGGGAGCAGAGGTGGCACGGCCTCCAGGCCTTGTACTGCAGGGGGAAGAGGCACAGCTTTAGCCCTGGTGTGTCGACTGCTTTCCCTTTGGAGCACGTTGTGACTTGTAAATAAGCTTCCAGAAGTGAAACCAAATCTACAGGTGTTAGTTCATCCTGTTCACGTATGTATGGTCTGATCTGTGACTTAGTGCGCTGCATTACTGCTACGCTTTCAAGGCGTATTAATGTGCACGCATTCTTTTAAGCCCTTGTTATGAGGAGGGCTAAGCACTCAGCTAGCCAGGAGGCTGTGGGTGTGTGTCTCCAAACAGGGTTTCTAAGTAGTTTGAATTTAAAAGTCATCAGGTTAAGAATATACAAGGAAAACATGACCTCTCTCGCTAACTAACAGGCATAAAGCAAAGCTCTGAGCGGCAGTGAGGAAGCTGCGTGTGGAGACAGAGAGGAGCAGGGAGCGCACAGACAGACAGCGGTGAGGCAGGGGAGAGCCCAAGCTTTCAGGGAAAAGGGAGGAAAAGGGAGGAAAAGCCCCAAAAGGCAGGTCCTTGGAGTGCAGGGGCACTGCTGGCCCTGGCATGTTAGGAGGAGAGGCTGTGCTGTGCCCAAGATTTTTTCACCTGCATGGCTTTTGAGGGTTGAGACTTGGAATAAAAAGCCATAAGTGTGATGAGAACAGTAACTAAGAAGAAAAAGTAAAGCAATTAATATGGTGGAAAAAGAGGGGGGAAAAAAGTGAAAACCACTTTTATTAAAACACTAACAAGGCCGATAGGAAAGGGAGAAGTCTGATACTGCAGGAGCAGCAGCACCGACGTGGTCAGGGAAAGGCTCTGCCTTTTCTCTGGCGAGGAAGGTCTCCCTCCTCCTCTCAGCCCTCCATTTCTCCTCCTGCTGTGGGTCTGCGGAGCTGGGCAGCCCCCTGAGTGCTTTGTTTCACTGACACCAGCATTAACGTGGCACCTCGGTCACCCGGAGCATATGCTGCCTGTGACAGACGCGCAGGGCAGCAGCTTTCCACATGTGCTCCCAAGGTCTCCCGATTGGTGTGCTCAGCAGAAGGGGCTGGTCCTTGAAGTCAGCTCCTGTGCCTATGACAGATTATATTTTTATGCATGAAAACAAAACCAGGATATCTGATGGACTGCATTATCTTTCCAGACAGCTTGGAGCTACAACTGCAAAGTAAGAAGTTTTATGCTTAGACTTCAAAACTGTGAGTGGAATTTAAACATCAGCTTTAAACAACTACTTTTTTTTTTTTTCTTTTTGGTTTGAAACTTTGCATGAAGTATATATATCTGCATAATAACTTTTCATTATCGAGTGAGCTGTTGCAAATTCTCCTAAGATGAAATAATTACTGCTTTGGAAAACTTCACCAAGTGCAAGCTGCCTTTGCGGCTGGACTAATAAACGTGCACTGAGGAGGATGCTCTTTTCCGTGCATGCAATTAGTCTAGCTGGAAATGGTTTCAAATTATCTATGCCACTGGAAAATGTGTTTGAGCAGGACTAGTTGTGCTGGTGGAGAATCTCCTGGGAGTTATCAGCAAATGTCAGGCTGGTCTGTGTCTCTTTGTCACGAGCGTCATTCGGTGTTTGCTTGTGTATGGAGAGGGATTAGGTTAAAACCTGCTGTTACCATTGTGTGGCACTGTGCTTGCTAGATGGAAAAGCTGGTGGTGCCAGGTGTTAGCAAGCTGGCCAATTAATGATGATTGCAGGAAATTAGTTTAAGAGAATATTGTCCACTGGGACACAGATTTTATAGAAATAATTTCAACAAAAGGATAGATAGCACTTGCTAGTGCACAGGAGGCTAATTCCTGTAGCTGAAACATAAATAACCTGCCCTTTTTCATGTGTTTAAATACAAATAGTGAAATAGTTTTCCTTGGGAGAGCTGTAAGGGCTGGCATCCAGTTCAAGAGTCCAAACCTGAGCATGCAGTTTGTGACCCCAGATTTGTGATATTTTCAGTTTCCTGTGGGAACTGTCCAATACCCTCTGTGATCCCGTGCTGTTTATACACATTCTTGAGTGCAAAGAGCTGTATTTTGGAACTTCTCTCAATTCACTTGGATGTTAGTAAAACCTGAGATGTGTGCTTTTTGAAAAAGTAGTTTCAAATCCAGACAAGGTTGTGCCGCGACTGTCTAGCTACCCAAACCAGTCCAACACCCTTCCCTATATAAGCTATATTTTCCTTAAAAAGCAAGCAACTTCAGTGTTTCTGTGCCTTGGCAATTACATTGCATCAGTTTATACTCTTATATTCTGGCAGATCCAGGTGAAATCCAAAGCTGATATGAAAGGAAAAATCAGTATCGTGCTATTGCTAAGGAGGTATGGCAGAAATTCCATCCCTGGTGCTTCCACCACCATTAGTCTGCATCTGGGCACCTCCAGACCATGCAGCAACACAAACAGCATCCAGATGAGGTGTCTGCGTATGACTGCATTTCTGATGAATTAGTCAGAGCACATAACATGGGATATATACCAACTTTATACAACTGGCAAGGAGGCAATTCAATCCATCGCCAAGTACAAAGTAAATGTCAGTATTTTTTTAACAAATGAACTGCTAGAGTAAATCTATACCATTGTGGTACTCTTACATCATTGGTTGCAGAGGTTTTGTTACAGCACTGGAATCTCTAAAGGCAGATTTATGCTATCATCGAGCCATGGCTGGAGTGAATTTGAACTTATTTGAAATGCAGTGATGATAAATTTCATTTATTTTCATTCCTTTCCCCTACCTTTTCTTGGTCACTACAGCTGGAACATCACAGATTTTTCCAATAGACAAAAACAGAATGTTTTTCCCAAAGCTGAATTTGGTATTAACACAAAAATACACTCACACAGAAAATCTTGAGTATCGAGTATTTCAGTCAGGGAGGCCTACTTCCTTGATGTAGAAGAAATTCCAAATTTGAAGAAGTCTTAAGCCAAACTGCTTGTAAATGCATAAAGAATTAGTGTTCTCTGTTGAACAAACTGCAGTATTTTTCTTTCAAGAATGTTAAAATCAAACTTGTGTCAGTTTTCCTTCCATTTTCTCAAATAGCAAAGTAGGGTTAAAAAAAATTATCTTTGCAGCAGAACACCTGTATAAATGTTTTCCAGTGGCCTGTCTTTGAAACACTGATAAAGTCCTTAAACTGAAGGGCCTCTGTAATCCTTGTAACGTAAAATGTTTCCTCTTCATGTGACATAGTCTGTTTCTTGTTCCCTCGATTTGACAGTCAATTCTCTATTAGATATTGCTACCTACATAAAATGGGCCAGATTCTTAGCTGGAAAAGTGTGAATAAAGAATAACTTCATTGTAGTGCATGACATGACCCTGGATTCATTCCAGTGTGACTGGAGTTGGAATGTGGCTCCACGTATGCAGCTGGCACCCCTGCCAGGCTAGGCGAGAAGGTAAACAACGAGATGCTGCAATTAAGAATGTTGCTAGCAGGGCTGCTGTGGTGCTGCCAGCTTCCAGTTGTGCTTTCACCTGGAGCTTCTTCCAGAAGAAAAGATTAAACAGCATAATCTCAGCTCTGTTCCACCAGCATTGCTTGTTATGTCTCCTCAAACACAGTTTTGCAGAAAGATGCTAAATCCAGCTACTTGTTGTCATATGTTGTCTAAGCCTTTGACATATGCCTCAAGCTATAAATTGCATGTGTTACTCTATTTTCTTTCCTCCTGCTCAGAAAGATTTTCATTTTTTTTCACAATAATTCTAGGTTTATGCTGTTCTTTACTGGTGATGTTGTTTTGGGAAGGTTTGTTTCTGGCTTTGAAAGTGCTGCTTTCTGTGATATTCTGGGATGTCCTAGAAGCTGCTTCCCAATTCCTAGAGAAAGCTCTGCTTCCTCCTCTGTTTTGTGATGATAACCACACTGTTCCCATGGCCACCTACACAGCAAAATAACTCCCAGGTCTTTGTCCTGGAGAGACTAATGAGAATATTTTGTACTATAGGTGGGGCTTCCTTATGACGGCTTTGATTTCCCAGTTCTGCATGCTAGGATATTGTGGAGTTGCTGCCCTAAAGAGAGGGGAGGTTTTGTGTGGCTATCTGTAGATTCTGTCCTATCTCATGAAATTCATCCCAAAGGAATAAATTGGCCTAGTTTCAGATGGGAAAGTCAGCTCATACCTCTATTGCTGGACAGAAATTGCTGGTTTTTACTTCTATGGCTGTGGCTAAAGAACTAAATTCTGTGATATGTGCACTAACGACAGCTCATCTCTGCCATCTGGAAATGGCAGAGCTACAAAAGGATCTCCAGGATCCGGTGTGAGGTTGTTTTACTGGTTACTCTGAATGAGAAACAAACATGGCGTGTTCAGATTTTAAGGAGTTCATTGCAAATGCTATCTGCCGTGTGGATTTCCAGGGACACTATATCTGAACATTCAGCATCACCAAGAATAAAACACCAACGAAGCCAGTGGGCTGGCTCTGCCCATTCTTCTTTGCCACTTAACAAGTTCCTGGAATTAAGCGTGTTCATATCTACCACTATCTAAGTGGGGATTATATGAAGCTAAGGCTCAGCTGAACTGTAGTTAAAGTAGTTTCTTTTGAAGTAGTTTTTATCATTACTCAGATATTTTTGTGCTATGGGGATGTGTTCTCCACAACTGCACTCCATTAGTCCAAAATAACTTAGTAAATTCTCTCTGTATGGGCACAGAGTTTACCTGTAACACTAAATATTCATATGATGTGTGCAGCTCATCAGATCTTTCAAGTTTTAGAAAATCTAATCTTTTATAAAGATTTATCATGCTGTTGCATCTGGTGCTGATGACAAGAATTTATCACAGGCCATTATTTTAGAATAAGCAGATTCAGTAGGGAACTAGAAAAATCTACCTGATATTTTTAGTTTTAAAATGAATATCCTGCTTCCACATATACATCTGTGAAATGGGGATACTTGTCATGCGGTTGAGTCACTGAGAGTTATGAAAGGAATCAAGCAGAAGAAGAGAAGCAATGGCTTAGCACATACAAGAGTCCTCAAATTTAAGAAGGTTTGTGGACATAAGAGATAACTCGTTGGCTACAGCACAGGTAATATCTCTGTTTTTCCAGGCCTGAGAAGTAGCACTATAATCTCATGAAATCTTTGTGAATTTGAGGCCTTTGTGTCACCTGAGAGAAGCTGTTCAGAGGCTGTGTGTGAGAGGAAGGGAGTTACAAGGCAAAGGAAAGCACTGGAAAAACAGCTTTGCTAATACTACACAAACGTTTCTTGAAGCTGAAAATGAAAAAGTACAAAATCTGGCAAGGAAAAAGATGAGGGTATGAGTAAGAGTCATGTACTTCTGATGTTGTTTTTTACCCTTTGTGCTGTGTGTTTTGTGCCTTAGGGAGAATGAATAATACTCTGTTTTGAAGACAAATTAAGTTACTTTAATTAATGCATAATGCATTGTTTTGAAGACAAATTAAATTACCTTCATTAAACCGCTGGTTGTGGGCTCTCTGTAAAAAAGAAGGTGTATTCATGTACCAAAGGTCACACAGTTGTAAGGGGGATGTGCAGGGAAAGAGGGAGGTGCACTGCTGAGCAACCCACACCATGAGCTCTCCTGCTTTATCCATAGGAAGAAACCAGAAAAATTAGACGGATCCCAAACACAGTTGATCCTAAAACCTTCACAACCACAACTGGATCTTTCAACATCATTTAAAACCAAGCTGTTTAAATGCCACTTCATTACATCCTGAAATTACAGCACTGTGAATGGTACTTCTGGCTGTCACAGAAGCCTACCTTTTTCAACATTTACATATCATATAGAGCCAGGAACTGTTGTGGTTTAAGGTATGCTTGTCCCACTATGAGCAAAGAGACTTTTCCCTGACATATTATTGCTGTGACAAAAACAGAAGTATTAAGTTTATTATAAACAAGGGACATTTTAAGATCCAAACTGTGAGCAAACAAGTAAGGCTGGCTCTAATATTTCAGAGTATGGCCAAAGAAAAAGGTCTGGAAAATGTTTTGCATGTTGTCTGTCATCATTTAGCTGAAATTTTAAAGATTCCAATCTATATCTTTATACCTTGATATTTATCTTTATACCTTCATATTATTATATCCTTACACTGAACTTTACATCTTAGTTCCTATTGTTAATACTAGCAGAATTTAGATCCA